CTCGTTTCGTTTGATGATCGAAGAGAATTTGGATGGCCCTTGTTATTTTCGGATACGATATCCGTGGTAGAGCAATGGGGTAAGGATAAGTTTGGACTTCTTCCTTCTGTGAGCTCACATCTTTTCTATTCAGTCATAGGTCATGGAGCGGCGTACTTCTATGGTCATGCTATGAGCTCGGTATGTACGAGTCCCTTGAGAAACAGACAAAAGGTTAACCTGTTTATAGGTCGCCGGCGGTATTCTCAATCAGCGAGCAGCGTTTGGATGCGATTTCCGAACGGCTCTATTCGACTGATCAAAAAGGTTCTTACTCGTTATCAGTAAGGTGTATAAGTTTATGTGCATTTAACTCTTCAATGGGCTTCCTCGCAATGAATACTGTATTTTATCAACTGGACGTGCAGGAGGAAAGAACTGAAATTTTTGCGAATGAGCATCTGCTCCGATTCGCCACGAGCAATTATATACGCATAACGCAGAAATCTAAAAAGACAAATAAAGGGATCAGGCACCCATTTAGATAATTGTCACAGATCAAACTCAAAAGATTGAGGTCGAGTAAATATAATAGTCCCAGATAAAGAGAGAAAGGGCCTTTAATGCAAGAATGAGAGAGTGAAAAGAAGCTATGAAGGATAGTGAGCTTGCGGTCAACACATCATTGAAATTGACTTACCACGAATGAGGTGACAACTGTAATTAACGAAGGATAGCTTGACATCGCTAAACAGATAAGTCAGCAACCCATTTCTTCAAAAAACACGACCATCGTAAGGACGTCGTTTGTCAAGGGAAGACTTACCCGACGAGGCCGAAGGAGCAGGTTCAAGATCACGAACCAGTAGTGCATACACACCACCGATACTAGCTCGGTTGAAGGTATTGTCGGCGGCCTTTCCATTGGTTACACCGATGTAGCTAGCCCAAGGGACATTAGCGTCTCCATTTTGGATAAAGTTTTTCGTTCTGGCAATGAGCAAATCGCGTGTCGACGTTTCTGGCGCCAAGCCAGCTGCAAACATCATCCAATCTGTCCCGGTTCATTAGTATCCATTCGAGAAATCATATGCACGGTCGACTTACGAGGGCTAGTAAGGGTCGTGTTGCTATTAAGTGCAAGACCGTACGTATCTAGAGACGAGTATGCATCAGCCAACCTTTCTCTTGCACTTCCACATGCGTCAATTACTTACTCATATTGTTGGAATAGAGAGAGCCAAGCTTGGAATACACGTCGTCGGTAAACAATCCAGTTTTGAGCCACTTGTCGCAGAATAGATTGTACACCATACTCCAGGAACTAGGGTTTCCATAAGATAGGGAAAAGGCGGTTGAACTGGCGGCAAGTTGTTGCCAGGTAGAAGCGTAATTGGTAGCACTATCGTGGTAGGCGGATGCATCTTGTCTCATAGAGGTGAGGATGTCGGAGAATGCTTTGAGAGCAATGATACTCTTTGCCGCTAGGTTGGTGTCATTCGTTGGGCTACCAATGATGTCGCCATCAGAGGTAAGTCTAGAGTAAATGAGTATATTGTGGAGATTTTTAAGAATAGAAAACTTACTGTGAGGCCGGATACAAGGCGTTATCTTTGAGGAAGTTTCCCCACGATTTGTATAGATCCATCTGCATATTTGTTAGCCCCCCTGAATCATACTACTGCTAGCACACTCACATTATCCTCGACAATGGAATAATCTCCCTTAGCTTTGACAAAGGCTGCAGTACTCAGCATGAGGTCTGCAGTCGACTCCAAGCTCTTGGCATTCAGAGCATTAGTCTGAGGACCACTGGCTTGTGGATATTGACTGCCGAGATTGTCAATGACGCGGTTCCCTACCGCAGCATTCGTAGCTCCAATATTACGGTGCCATTGGACAATGGGTTGCAGTAAAAGTCCGAGCAAGTCTGGGTTGGCCCAAGCCCAAAAGGGAGAGGATGCATAAATCTCATCGAGGCTGTTTACCCTGTAAATTTCATCAATATAAACGTGATCAATCAGTCGAGGATGAGTGACATACCCATCAAGACCCATGAAGAGCAATGGGTCCGACTTGTTCAAGTTGCCATCGCTTCCGGTAGAGACTGTGAGTTCCACATGGGCAAAGGTTTGTCGAGCAGCCAATACTGCGAGGTCCACATAGTCGTTGGATATCTGGGCTGCGGCTGAGTTGACTTTGCCGTCAAAGTTGTTGGCTGAAGCAACAGCATTGTCATAGTCATTCAAAAAGAAGGAAAGCTATCAATGGTGATCATATTAGTACTATGAGTATGAGGAGGGAATGGCTAATTACGCACAGCATCCTCATCATTGCTCAACTGAGCACGATAGTATAGCGAACGCGCCTGAGGACCTCCAGAAGTTTGATACGAGATAGCAGGGTCTCTTGTCAATCCAACGACAAACACCACTGGTTTCGACTCTGCAGTGATCGACCCCAAGTCCTTGGACAAGGCCATGCACGGCCAACGGTCTCCAATAGCACGAGACGTGGTATCCTGAGTATTGTTCAACGTTCCAGTAGAGTTGAACCACGTCCTGAGATTGACATCAGGAGCGGTCTGATATGTAACCCCAGTATCGAGGAGAATCCCATGGTAGGCATGACCATAAGTGACCCTATCATCCCTCGACCCGAATTGGGTTGGACTGGCGAGTTGGAATTGATGATATACCATCGCCTGTGTTTTTTGTGTAGACCAGGTCATTACGGCTGCACTGTCTGGGCCTAGCCATTCTGTGGTCGCAAGGGCACGGTGGGAACGAGTAGGGAATCATCAATTAGCAAGATTCACGTATCACAAAACGTAGAGCCTCACCTCCAGCTAAATCAGCGTATACTTGCACACTGTGTTGGCGCCCATCGTTGGGGGATGCGGTGACCGACAGATATGTGAACGGTAGCGACAGCCTCACAAAGTCGGACGGCTCAATTGGACTGAGATATGTAACTTTGAGGTCAACTCCGCCACATCTGACTACATATTGTGTCTGTGTAGCAGTGATCTAAAAAAAAAAGAGAGCAAAGAAGCATCAGCATCAACTCGTTTCACAGAGTCCAGACCCTAGTGTGCTCACCGTGGTACTTTGGAGCTGTCCAGAGGGAGCAATCTGTGTACCGTTGGATCCATTTCCCAGGTAATTACAGCCTACTCCATCCACTCGAGCTAACCCTGCCCATCCCGTAATGCCTGTATTCCCCCCAGACCTAGGCCAGCTATTGGCAATGTTGGCATCCTTGCCATATAACCAAGTATTGAGATACGGTGTTTTCACGACAAGAGGAGCGGCGACCGGAGGGTAGGTGAACGCGTTTGCATTTTCAAAAAGAATTGCGCCCAAGGTCGTCAAGAGAGTGCAAGTCGAAATCGTCCAAGAGGAGCCCATCGCAACGAACGGCCGCACGATTGGCGTCCCAGAAAATAAAAGAGAAGGAGGAGTCTGAAAGAGAGGACCCTTGAAGGAGTTTGAGGAGGAGTTTGAGTTTGGTTTATAGGGAGGAGGGACGACTACCCTGGGAATTCCACACACACGGCTCTGTTCACATATCACCGGTTCGAATTTTGGTGCGCGCATCATTCTTGCATTTTGCACTTTGGCGTCTATTCCATCACCAGTCTTGTTTTTTCATGACGAGTCTACAAAAAAATCTAGTCTAATCCATCTACTACTACTCTAGCTCATTGACCAGTCAAGGGAAGGATCGTCAAATCAGCCATATCCGTGGGGACGGTGAGGATACGCATCGTGTTGGTGTGGAAGCTACCCTGTCTCCATCCTTGAACGGCGATGATAGCTGAGCCAGGCTTCAAGATCTTGAGGTCGAGAGCGCTCTTGAGACCAAACCTGATCCTGTTATCCACATCCTGTTGCCACTGCGAGGGAGGAATGCCACGGGGCTCTGGGTACCAGAACGGATAGCAGCCTCGATGCAGGTGAATCTGGCGGGCAGTTTGTTGGCTCCTCGTGACTAAAATTTCCGTTAGAACTTGTCTAGTGTCATATGAAGAAGACTAACCAGTGATAATGGGGACATTTGGGCGGTATTTGGAGATGAGACGAGCGGTATTACCACTGGTCGACAAAACAAGGATGGCACCAGCGTCTTGCTCATATGCAGCCGCGACGGCAGCCAATGCAACAGTCTCAACAGTGCTGGTAGGACGAGTTGTTGTTGCTCGGAGTTCATCGTAGAGAGGTGGGTAGCAGATTGCCGATTCTGCAAGGAAGCAAGTCTCCGCCATCATTTGCACTATCAAGAGTTAGATGATGCGCATTGAATAAACGGTAGTCCTCACCAGATTGCACTGGGTATGTGCCCTTGGCCGTCTCTCCGGACAACATGACACAGTCAGCACCATCAAGAACAGCGTTGGCAACATCACTGATTTCAGCACGGGTTGGCCTTGGGTTATACTGAATAATTATATCAGAGCTGCCCTACTCCTTCTCGGAAAAGTCCTTACTGTCATAGACTACAACACTGAATCAGTACATGCTCAATGATATCAAGAGAAAACTCACCTCCAACATTTGGGTGGCACAGATAGCTGGCTTTCCGGCCATATTGCACTTGGCAATGATCATCTTTTGAGCGAGGAACACTTGACTGGCGGGGATTTCGATACCAAGATCACCTCGAGCCACCATCACACCATCCGTCTCCTTAAGAATCTCATCAAAGTTCTCAAGACCCTGCTCGTTTTCAATCTTGACAATAATCTTGATGTTGGCACCATCAGGGCCGAGGCACTCCCTAATGTCAATGACATCTTGAGCACGGCGGATAAAGGAGGCAAAGATCATGTCGACACCATTCTTGACACCAAACTGCAGGTCCTTCTTGTCCTTTTCGGACAAGGATGGCAAGTCGACTGGGGTCTTGGGAAGGTTGACTCCCTTGCGAGAGGCGATATTGCCATTGTTCAGAGCACGAACGTGAACATTGGGACCATCGATAGAGAGAACAAGGAGGGATAGAATACCATCGTCAACATAGATCATTTTTCCGGGCTCAGTGACCTTGGGGAGGTTTGCCTAGAGAGAAGTTAGCCTCTCGAACGTTCCACCTGAATATCAGTAGCACTCACATAGTCAACATACATCACTTTGTCGTCGCAGCATTCCTTGTATTTATCTTCCGTCGACACAATGAATTCATGGCCAGCTTTGATTGGGATCTGAAGACGTAATTGAGTCTCTCATTGACCCTGGGCGGCGCTTGCAACTTACGTCGGTATCTCCCCTCACCAATCCAGTTCTAATTTCGGGTCCTTTCTATAGAACGTGTAAGAATACGATGAACGAACTAGTTGCATCACGCACGGTGTCCAAGGCAATGGCAAGAGGGCGTCCGTGCGGGTTGGCTTGGCAGCATATAAGTTTCGGATGGAGTAAAATGTACATAAAACACACCTTCAAC